GTAAAATTATGATATTTTGAACAAGGAAGCTCAAAAATATGTTTTGTGTTGAACTAATTTTGTTGTACTTACATCTTATTTAATTTTAGTTTTACATTTTGTAAATATCATGTAACAATTAGTTGTTGTATACAATTAGCCATTGTAATTTGTAGGTATGACTAACTTGTTTTACAAAAAAAAAGTTATTGTTCACATCAACATGTAAATTATGAATGGCGAAATCCACCCAAAAATATAATATGCTGTTTTCAAAATGTATTTAAAAACTATATTACCTTCTTGATGGTATCATGCAGCGTTTCTCGATCCTTCTGGGTGTCAAACCAATAAACAAACAACCGTGCAGCAATACGATGTTTATTAGTTATAATAATCAGACATAACAAAATTAAATGAATTAAAATCATTTCTAAAATACCTTGTAATAGAATAATTGTATTAACACCATCAATAACGGTACTCAGGTATATAGCTGGTATTTGTTAAACGTGATACAATGAATTATTAGGAAAAAAAACACACACTTGTGGTACACCTTCAGTATTTTTGTATGTTGTGATAGATAGTTAAATAACGTTAAAGTCGAATGTTTAAGTGATAGTACAAACGTTTAGACAAGTACATCGGAAATGTTCTGATGTGTATTCTATCCATAATATAGGTAGGTAATAGAAACGTGGGTAGTTCTACTGCACATAACCAAACAAATAATAATTTCTGATACGAGATCGCCCAAAACTATAGAAGATATAGTTATTTTGTAGCTTTTATATACAAGAAAAATGATAAATTGTGTATCTAAACTACAATTTCATAAATAAGATTAAATGTTTGTTTATGAACAATATAGGTACATTGATATTTATTATTATCATTAATGAAAATGTGTTTCAAAAATAATATATTATTCCTAAAACGTTTGTTTGGTTCTGTACAAACATTTTGAATAACAATTTTTAGTTTTTGGATATAGTTATACTGAATATTATACATAAATTAAATTAATTCTATTAAATTTTAAAAATACATTAGATTAAATAATCTCATATCATATGAACAGCCATTTTCAGAATTTTGGTTAGGTACCTATTACACAAACTTACCTCGAGAGTTTAAATTGTTTTAATTTGTATTTTTTAAAAAATTGGTTAAAATTTTAAATAAGAAAAAAATATAGATACCTATAGCACTTCAAAATTACAGTATTCTTTATTATATTGTATTTGGTATTAGAGCAACAATAAAATAAGATAATTAAAAAAAAAATTTAACGGTTTATCTCTTAGAACTTGTAAGTTCTTCCTACTATAAAACCTTTTTTATGTCATTCACCAAATAATATAAATAGTACATAACATAATAAAACATTTCCTACAAATAGATAATAATAGTTTTTTGGGAAATACTAAAATAGTAAAATACAAAAGGTATTTTGAAATCAAAGTAAGTATATAAATTAATAGTTTTTTTTTAACAAGGAAATGCACTCGATTTTTTGTTGGATATTAACTATATAATTATCAACATTATAAATACATCAAAGTACAGTGAATTTCAGCAATTAATGTTAATATTATGATCATGATTTTGTATTGATTTATTTTGTGCATCACTTAGTTGTTTTGATAAATTAATTACATCATTTTATACTTTAAAATAGGTATAGAACCAGTGGCGTCCGCAGGATTTTTCAATGGGGGGGGGGGGCTTGAAAATTAGTTACAATTTTATTTTTATTTTGTCTAGTCTAATAATTTCAGACGTTTATTTGAGGTATTTTAAAATGTTTGTAACTTTTCAACTATTCTGGTAGAAAAAATGCTCTGATTATAAGCGTCGATGCCCAGTGCATGTTTTTGGAAGCAAATTGGATCTAGTTGGTACTTTTAGGAGGTCGAAATTTAAAATGCTCAGTGCTTTCCAAAATAATTGGAGAAAAAAAATGAAAATTTATTTAAATGTTTGGTTATACCGTCTTCACTTGGTTTTTATTTGAATAATTACTTTTTTTTTTCTATAAATGTGAATAAAAAAATTATTCATCAATAAAAGCTTAAAAATGTAATACGTAAGTTTTTTTATTATAGCTAAAATATTAACGATACATAGGCATCATGGTTATTTTTTATAAGCATTTAAAGTTCAAATTTCGTCAAAACCACAGTTAATTTGTAGTTCAAAACTTATAAAATATAAAATATGTATAGCTAAGGCTAGACAATTTAATACAAGGTCTTTCATACAAGTAGTTCATACTTTTACCGTAAAATTACAGATAATTTATGGAAATTGGTATGCAAATACAATATTTTTTCAAAAATGAATTCATTCTGGTAAGACATAATTATATGAAATTTACATCTTGCTTACTATAGTTGACAGTTTAACTTGATTAATATTTTTTTGAAAAAGTAATAATAATAAGGGCAATGGGGGGGGGCTTCAGCTCTTTAGCCCCCCCCCCTGCGGACGCCACTGTATAGAACCATTTACACAGTATAGTAGTATACCATAATTTTTTATCTTTAGGTAATGTAAATATTGGATCCCTGAAAAAATACCATAGTTGTAGAAATATGTGATACAACAAAACAGGAAAAAAAATAATTGGGGAAATAATTATGCTGAATAGTAATTTTCTAGTGTACCTCATCAATTCATCAATGAGTAGGGCACTGTAATGGAGATGAATCTGAATTCAATCATTGCATAAAATAAAAATGAATCTGAACGGAAGAGAATGTGGATCGGCATTATCTATTTCTAAGGATAGTTCATGTTACATTATATTTAAATTATAATTAGTATTTTCTTAATTCGATAGGTTAAACTGATTATTGCCAAAAACATCGGAAAATTTCAACCTAAACCGAAAAAAGTTTTCAAATGTCTTTAAATGGCTCAAAATATTTTTAAAATTAAAAATATATCATGTCTAGAAAATGCTAATATGAATATTTTGTGAAAGTTTTGGGTCTCCACCGATACTTCTTTATACTTTACAATAAAAGAAGAACAAAATAGTTTCAAAAGATATTTTTATACTTTCGATCCCCCCCCTCCCCCTCCCACAAAGAACCAGCTACATCATATTTGATACCATGAATTAATCACCTCCAATGTTGAAGATTGAAGCAAATTGTCTGCTCTTAAACCTGACGAGCGACACGAGACACACCAAAAAAAAAGTGAAAAAAACATCATTGTAAAACCAATCATTCCACACTCCACTCAGAATCTAAAAAATATCTCCTTTAATTTCACTATTTGTTCAACTTGTCAATGTACAATATGTTTCAACCTGCTATTCAATATTTCATAAAAAAACAACCTTTTATTTTCTTTGGAAATAAATTTAGAAAATACTTTTTTTGCATTCATCTCAAAGCGTCCCTGTCCACATTTAAAAGTGATGGTTGGTTTGAAAATATATTAACAAATTTCAGTTAGTTTGAGTTTAATAAAAAAAACAAAAATTGGTTTTTAATTTTAATTTCACGGTAAAAATAGTAATATTGAGCTTTCTTGAAAGTTATTTGAAACTGTAAATTTCATACATAAAAACAATGTAAACATTTTTTTTTAAATTAATATAAATGTCTTATTTGGTCTCTTGTAACCTAATCATCTTGTAGAACAATAAACTCTTTATTAAAGTGTTTGCATTCAGAAAACTTCTGTTATTTTCTATGAAATATGTATCTAATTCAGAGTTTCCAAATACGTAAAAGGTGTACAAATTTGAAATTTTTACTTTATGGCCCAATGTCCACAAAAATAATAATAAATAATGTTAAAAACAAATATAAATACGTATAAATTGATAATTAGTATTTTTAGGGAAAATCAAAAATTTGTATTTCAATATTTATATTTTGTTCTAAGTATTTGAATGTTCGTTCGGTTTTCTACGTTTGTTTTTCCCGGACCTAAAAGTACTTCTTAAGGAAAAGCACAAAATATTTCTCAAAACTGCGGCTCAACTTTTATCAACTATAAGACCTAATTATCTAGTTACTAGGTAATAATAATGTATCGTGAGGAAAACAAATTTAGGAACCACTGATCTAATGCAATGTTACGGTGTACCTACTGAAAAAGGCAATGTTACATGTCCTATTTGACTTTGTAGTAAGCATTAAAGCATAAAGCATAAAGCAAAATCAAGCAATCTAACTAATACCAATACGTAATGTTAGTTAATATTATTTACGAATAATATCAATTTGAAATTAAATACACATTGACATTGTGGTTTAGACAGTTTTTATTTTACATCAACATTTGAAATATATTGAAAATAAGTAACTGCAAGAAATTATAAAGAAAAATAGGCCAAAATATCACCAACGAGCTCTGGAATGATTCGAGACTGAATCGTTAGTGAATCGTTGCTTTCAAGTTTCATAAGACCTGTGCCCCAAAAACCCAACTAATTCGATTCCTCTAATCCTAAATCTTATTTTATCGAGTGTTATGTTATTACTTATTAGTAGTTATTGCCAACACCTAACATAATATGTATGATTAATAATATGGTGTTTAGTAACAAAAACGTATTTTGACTATTAAGAATTAGTATTTTATTGTTAAATATAAAGTATGTTTGATTTTGTAAAATGTATATATTTTAATATTGATCACGTTATAGAATTTAAATAATTACGAAATTTACCAACCATCGAAATAATTAATTGAATTGATGGTGTGCGTATATTATATAATGATATAATGCAGGGATCAAACATTTTTTATAACGTTTTTAAACAGTTATAAAAGGAGTTTGAAAAAAAATCTGTTTAAACATTTTTGAATAGATTCGGGAATAAAAAGTTTAGAAAGTATAAATCAAACTAAAACAGATTTTTTTTTATTTAAAAAAATCAAAGTCAAACGGAATTTGTACGAAATAAAAATCGACTGTTAAATTTGATCCCTGCAACGGCGTTAATGGCATTATACCTAAAATGTATTAACAAATATTTTTTTTGTTGCAGCAGCATGCTTAAATTATGGTCATTCGTGTTGGGGAGGTAAATTATAACATACAATATTAATCATCAAATAAAATTTATGTCACAGTAAAATGACTCAGACACGAATTCATACGTGATTGAAATAAGTTAATATGACGTGTTTGTATTTCACACAGCTCATGGCAAGCGCAATGTCCCAAACGACCTAGACAGTTTGATAAGATATCGGATGGCTGTTTTTAAGAAATCGGGACACAGAGACTCGTACATAAATCCAAACGCAGACCAATCGCAAGAAGATATTCCAAACTATTACAACATTTTCAAACATTATTCGAAAATAAATTCAATGAAAACAAATAAGTATTAATATTTGAATTATTCTTGAATTACAAAATTTAAAAATGATTAACCATCTTATAATATTTTGTCGTAGCGATGACACCGTTGACACCTGGAGCCTTGAGCCGAGCAATAACTTACCTAGCGGTGGGTCGTACTACGAAGATCAAGTCTTAGATCCCAGGATTGAATATAAATTATGGTAAGTCATAACATTCATTTGTACACTATAGCCAGTTATAATAATATTATGATGGTAAAAACAATTTTAATTTTTAACTATTGAAAAATTAATCTATGTATCTTTTTCACAGAAAATATAGGCGAAGAAGTACCACAATTTATTCTACAACGTTAATAGTTCATACTTGAAGAAACCGGAAAAATTAATATTTCAAATATGTAACAACAATACCTTGTAAATGTCAAAATAATAAGGATATTGAAATTTTGGCCACATATTTTAATTTAATTACACAACCTACGAATACCGTTAATGCAAACATTATTTATATTTTCTGATAACATTTTAAAAAGTGTTGTTTCTTGTACTGAATAAGAATTATATATTTATTCGTATTTTTATTTTAAGTATAATATGTAACAAAGTCTTACTTACAAACATATATTTGCTTACAATGATATAGTTTATTAATAGACACTTATTAAATCTGTAGTACAAGTCTGTACATTAAAAATGCTTCCAATTCCAAATAAACAAAATAATACAATAATGGTTTTTATTATTACTTAACATTAAAAAGTAGTTTTATTTTAACAAAGGTTCTAGATATTATACATTTTTATAATGTAAAAACTATATTTACCAACTCCCTAAATGCTATTATAATCGTGACATAAAATGTAATAGAAGTAATAAATTTAATTTTAAAGTAAACGAAACCTTTCATAATTAACCCCGTTTATGACCAATATTGTTAATTAAACACATATCTCATATTTGGTTACATGTAAATGAGGTGATCTCTGAGGGGAGTCTAAAATATATAATAAATCATATTTCATTGTCGTAGGTACCTCTTTCTTAATACATACTTTAGGATTACGTGTTCTATATATTAACCTATTATCGACAAACATAAAATAATATGATTTGATTAAAACATTAAATTTAAAGGACAAATGATTGTAAATTATGTAAATGATTAAATAGGTAATAAATATTATAATTTTAATAAATAAAAACTGATAAATCAAAATTACCTTAGTAGCATTAAATTATACATAGGTAAAGGAAAGAATTGAATAAAAGTGTGTGGTAACATCACTCGTTAAAAATAAGTGAGTTTATTTAAATTACATCAAAATCATGTGCAATATGATGCAAACGTTTTAACAACAATTTATTCTTAAAACGTAAAAATGTTTATGATAAATTTATAAGTCAAATTTAACACAATAAATACATAAAATTATAAATAAATTTTTAGTATAAATGAGCGACTTGTTTTAGAAATTAATATGAACAGATTTAGGTATGGCAGTTTACTTAAGAGTAGGTATATTATATTTTAAGCTTAGGTATAGAATTATATTTTTAAGAACAATAATATGTAAAATTAAATTTTTTTTTAATTTTTCTGAATAGATATCGAAAGCAAGTATAACTTATTAGTTGTTTTAAAAATTATAAAAACATCTTAGTACAAATAATAAAATATATAAACATCTATATTAAACTTTCTGTAGGCATGGTAAAAAAAATGCTTGTTTTACGATAATTACTTCAACCTAAAGTTCATTTTTTAAAAATATGACATTAATCCCAGGAAAAATATATAATACTAATCTAAACAATTTAAATAGTATTAAACGATAAACTTTTTTACACAGGTGCCCACTCGTGCACTAGTGCATAGGTTTCAGATTTTATTAATACATACATAAGTATTTGTATAGTTTTGAAAATTTTTAAATATACATTTTGTTGGATTTCAAAATTAATCATTTTTTAACATTCAAAAGTTTTTATACAGATTCAATGCCCGAATTGTTGTATAATATCCAATATTATTATTAATTTGTTTCACGATATTCTAAAAGTATCTGAAGTTGATATAACCATAAAATTTAAAAAGCTAAGCTTTAACTTTATATAACCATCAAAATTGCATTTTTAGATCTACATTTCATAATATGATAATTTAAAACTATTCGAATAAACTCTGTTACTTAGAATACAAGCACATTTATAGTAGGTAAGTTATTAATCGAATATGGTAATATATTCTATACAGTAAATTAAAATAATTTAGTAATATATTTAAAGATTTCTTTATGTTTCATAAATTGTATAAGATCATAATATCTACGTTACACATTAAGTACCTGACTATCAAATAGTATAGTAAATATTGAGAAAATGTGTTTACTTCATCAGTCTATTCACATAGTACATCATATAACGAAGGCGTAATATCATAAGAAAAAAACAAAATTAGAAATAGATACAGAAAAATGCACAGGCGAGATAGGTCGTTCCCAGGTTCACAAAAAAACTAGGTTTAACTACGGTGGAATATTTTCTTTGATATTGTGAATGAGTTTACAATTTAAAAAAAAAACCATCTGAAATAATTAATAATTATTTTATAAAGATAACACATTTCGATGCTGTTGGTAATTATAAATCGTGTAAGATTGTTGGTTTTCGTTGATTATTATTATATTCAGAGAGTTATACCATTATGATGTACGCCATCACAACGGAAATAATAATTGTCAAATGCGATTGGCATCTACCGGCTGCTCCCCACCCACATTCTATGTCATTTTTAAAAGCTTCGGCCAGTGGTTTCTTCTTATCCGCACAAGCAGCCATCTCGAGATCTTCGTCACTGATCAGACACGTAGACTTAATAGTTGAATAGTGTTCAACGTCTCTGTATCTATTTGAAGGCGCTGCCGACGGATCTTCGTGATTGCACAAAAATGACGTTCTACGATGCCAGACTTCCATCCAACTAAAAACATAAACATACGCACAGACAAAACTATACTGGGTGATTCTTTTATCAAACAACACTCATTATTTCAAAAAGTGTAAATTTTTGTGGAAATATTTTTTTACATAGGTTCATGTCGCTTATAAACAAGTTTTCATTAAAAAATTATATTTTTTATCGTTATAATTTTTTAAGTTTTTTACTTTTTTTGAATGACAACATAGGGTCTTAATTTATATTTCCAAAGCAGAATATTTTTCTTAGTATTTTGATACATGGAAATCGAATTTGGGTTGAGTAGTTTATGAGTTATAAATGTTCAAAGTTTGATGAGCGTTGAAGTGGACAAACATTTCTCGAGGTAACCCCGAACCACTCCACTCCGCTCGTCTAAACTTTAAATACTTACAAGTTATAACTCATAAATTACTCGGCCCAAATTCGATTTTCATGTATCAAAATACTAAGAAAACTATTCTGCTTTGGAATATAAAATTAAAACCCTATGTTGTGGTTCAAAAAAGTAAAAATCATAAAAAATTATAAGGATTAAAAATATTTAAAATATAATTTTTTTATAAAACGTGTTTTATAAGTGACTTGAAAGAATGTAAAAAAATATTTCAAAAAATTTACACTTTTTGAAATATGAGTGTTGTTTGATAAAAGCATCACAGTATATAAAAGCTCGACTATCTCTAATTTTAATTAAGTAAGGATACATTTTTTTACACTATAAAAAAATATCAGTTCACTTAGAATAAATCAAAATTCGAAATATTGTTTGAGCTAAACAGCTGCTCCATTATTTGTTTGAAATCGGAATGTACCTACATGGTGATTGTATTTGCATATTATCTTTAAGTAACGTTATACTGCGAGGTGTATCTTATATCGTTACAAGCATGGTTTTTTAATGGTGGCCAAAGTCGATAAAACGGAATTTCCAATAAAAGTTTATTTTTTACAGCCTAAAAATTATTACTTAAAACCCACCCTTTACCCATATATTACCAGAGTCGACTTCATCTCTCTCCAAAACTTAGCTTTAAGCCTATTTAGTCCCTTTGTTAATCCAAGTTACAAGAAACAATACATACTGTTGTATAGTACTGCGCACGATATTATTGCATTGTATATATTATAGGTATATAACTCTACACAAAAATCAAAAACAGCGTTCTTAAACGAAACGTCTCTTTTTTGTACATAAATTTTGCGCCATCGTAGGTCTATATTTGCATGTCGTGTTTATATTATTATTTTATGCAAAAACTCTAATATTATAACTGTTTTTATGAATACATTACCTATAAGTTTCAACATGTATTTATTTGAATAATTTGAGTATGGAAGATTCTGTAGGTAAATTAATTATAACAAAAAATAAAAAATTACCCAATATTACAATCACAGGTCCATGGGTTTCCAGATACTTTTAGCGAAGTTAAAAATGTTTGCCCATGCTGTTTTGGTAACGCATTAGTGGATGGATTTCCTATTGACTTCAGCGAATTGTTTCGGATATCTAGACTGATGTTTCTTACAGTTCCCATATGTCGAAAAACGTCATTCGATATTGTTTCCAAGCTCGTATTAAAAATTGTCAAATTCAAATTTGGATACCTCAGGCCCTAAAAATAATTTTCTATTTATTTAATTAAAACACTTATAATAAGCCTTAAAGTTAATACACTCGCTAAGATTGTATATCAGTACCTGAAATATGTTATTTAACGAAAGTCCATGTAAAGCCTTTCCACTAATCGTGAAGTTTCTTAGCTTATATGGAAATAAACCAATTAATTCTTTCCCCATTCGCGACAATTTATCAACCTGGAAAACATAAGACACCAATAAAATAGTTTAAATACAGTCGTAACTTATCATTAATAACGAAATTTGTTAAAACCTAATATCATGTACCTACTACCTATACGGCTATACTATGAGGAATGAACACAACCTATCTAAAATCATATACATTATGTAAATCAATGTATTGATTAAAAATATAATCGATTATAAAGACTGTAGATGTAGGTAGCTACAATTAATTGCAAACTAACTTTAATATAAACAGTTTATTGTAAGTCAAAGTCACAATGTAGGTATAATGCATACTCTTTGTGTACAAAATGTACATATCAGCCAAAGCCAAAGCAGGTACCTAACATAAGTTTAAAAAAATAATTAGAATTAAGAAGTTGATAACTAATGACCTCCCCCTGAAATGTCCG